GCGGAGCCGATCGATGCCTCTCTCGCAATCCCGCGCGGAACGAAGAACGGCGCCGCGCGAGAAACGTTGGATATCGGTGAATATTTAAAACGCGTTTCCACCTCCCATCCCACCACCCGTCCACTGTCGACACCCGAAGACAATCACCCTCGAAACAATAGCCATCTAATGCGAAATAGGATGCCCCTCTTGCGTTTCCGCGGACTGGCTTCCTTCCATCCGTAGTTGCCTCGACTGTTTCTCGAATCTGCTACCGTGGTTTGAACGTAGTCGCTAACGCCTCTCTCGTTAGACGTTCCACCAACGATTTCCGCTCCCTCCACTTTCCTCCGATTCCCATCGTTCCAACCGATCCCTCCCAAAAGTTTCCTTCGAATTTATATCCTGGAGAGGAAAAATATATATAGGGCTACGACGACAAAGGAAAACTTATTTCACCCCCCATACATCATCGATATCTTCGTTTCACCTTTCCATCATTCACCAAGGACGACGGTCACAGGGTCGCTCCTGTTCACCGCGATCTCCTTCCTCTTTTTTTCCCCCGCAAAAACTTCTCTCTCCACGCGTGCACACACACACAAACACACACACACACATTGACGTGGCGGACATAAATCTTCCTCGGTTCGCCGGATTATTAATTCGTGGACGCGGATAGGTGTATCGTCGCGCATGCCACGTGAAACACCGTCGTCCACCGGGCTAACGAGAGGAGATAGAACGGAGGAGAGAGTGCTTTTGCGTCCAGCACACGTACGCGAACCGGCACGGACCACTTATTGTCCCGATGCCTGCCTTTCATTTAACGCACCGCGATCCGCTATCTAATCTCACGCAAGTAATCCCTCCACCCGTGGACACGCGGGGCTTGACCTTGCTATATTACCCCCTCCCCTTCTCCCTCCTCGATTCAGATTCGATTCACGTGATTCGAATTCGCCTAGGAGGCTCGAGGGGAGGGGAGAAAGGAAAAGAATAAGATTAATCGTATCATTAAACGAATCTTTTTGAAATTTTTGGCAAAATTCTACGTCGAGTGGATAATCGGATGCGATTTCTTCTTTCTTACCCTTTGATTCCCCGTTACGATTCGGAAAAGGATGGGTAGATTAGATAGGTTTAATAATGGAAAGCTTAAGCTTCGTTTCCACGACGCTTCGATATTAGTCGGACGGAAAGCGTGGAATCTCCTCCACTTTCCACGGTGAGATCCTTCCACGGGAAGGATAATCTTAGAAAACGATCCTCTTTCCAGCTTTAATTACTTCTCGCGTGGGAAATATTTGATACAAATTTACAAGGATCGCGTGATCCATGGCCTCGATCCATCATAAGTACGTACCCGTCATAAGTCATCGGACGCTTGGTAGTCTCCTAGGATAAATGAACTTTATCGTTTCGAGATGAGATTAATATTAACCGTTTCTATATAATAATAATAAGAAGAAGAAGAAGAAAAAGGAGAAGAAAAGGAAGAAGAAAGAAATGAAATTTGTACGTTAATTATTTTAATTCTCTGTAAAATCAAGAGCGAGTGAAAAAGTAGCGTGGAAATCGTTTAAAAAAAATTTCGTTTAAAAAAAAAAAAAAAAAACGAAGCGGTAAGGTTTATTCGAATTCCGTGAAAGATCGAGAGGTCGCTCTTTCCATCCGCGAGGGCATCACGTTAATTTAGCAGGACGTTACATTAATTCCAAATTGGTTTCGTGGAGATAGGAAGCACGGTGCAGGACGATCCAGGACGAAGGATCACCGATCCGCAGACTACCCAGCTTAGTTCCATCGTAATTACAGGAGCAGGACGAGGCTTAGCCGATCTTTATTTATACACGCGTCACGCTGCGATGCGCGTCACACGGTCAACACTTACACACACTTTCCACTCGTGAACGCGGCGTTTAACGTGCAACCCCGGCGTCCTCGATTGATCGCCGATCAATCGCGCGAAACGGGTGAAATTACACCTTCGATCGAGAAGATCGAATACATGTACGTTCCAAAGCGATCTCTATCCGTTAAAGCAGCGCGAACTTTCTCCCCCCTCCCCTCTCCTCCAAGTTATCCTTCACGATCGTTCGTATCATCGAGCTCGAGTTTTTATTAAACGCTCTCTCTCTCTCTCTCTCTCTCTCTCTCGTCGGACTCGTTACGAAAGATAAAGCCGGTCGCAACCACGTGCGCCCTGTTCCCGTGTGCGCCTCGACGTCAACAACATCAATCTCGCTCTCGCGAGAGAACAATTTTTCGAAAAAATTTCCACCCGATTCCGGATTCTTCTCAAGTAAGCTTCTTCTTCGCGCGAATGGTTCGATGGGGTGGTTCGTTACGTTTTGAAAAGGAGGGATGCGAGGCCATTAAGCGAGTCGATCGAGAAAATTAACGAGCGTTGCACGGGCGCGCGTTCCACGCGAAGCGTGTAACGGTGCCTCTGAACGCGCGTATGACGCATGTCGAAAGGGTTATTGGCTTTTCGGCCGTTGGAGCGGGAAGTCCGGCGGTGAATAGGTGGCGGCGCTAAAAGGAGCACGTAAGGCGAGGGAAGCAGCCGATGGGCCGAGGGGGTGAGGATCTTTTAAGCACCCCGGGTCGCTATATTTAGGGGCTCATCCTTCTCTTCCACGACCCCTTCTAACCGCAGTTTTGAATTGCGGCGCGCGCACCGTCGCCAGCCGCGCCACGTCGGTCCACGTCGCGGGCGATTTCACGACGGGGTCGAGGGGAGGGAGGGAGGGAGGACGACGGCTTGCACGACGGAGATAGGGATACGGTGGTTGAAGCAGGAGATCGGGGGAGGGCGCGGAAGGGACGAAGACATCGGCGAGAGACGAGGGAAAAAGAGCGGGAGATAAAAGGAGGACGAGGAGGAGAGGGTTGAGTCGTGGTCGTCGCCGCGCTACGACGAGGAACGGCGGAGAAGAGGCGAACGGAAGAGAGGAACGAAACGAAATCGGGAGGGATAGAGGAAAGCCGAGAGAGTGAAATAAAGACATAACGAGTTGGCGAAAAAGAGCGAGAACAAAGGATAATGGGGAAGAAAGGAGAGGAGAGGAGAGGAGAGGAGAGTGAGGAAGAGAGAGATGGATAGGTAGGTAGGTGGATAGGTAGGTAGGGGTAGGTAACCCAGCAAGTGGCCAGAGGTGAGAGAGTAGGATAGTCGGTGGTATAGAGACAAGGGGGATGAAGGTGCTCACGGAGGAAAGGGTGTAATGAAGCTGCGCGGGAGAGGTGGACGGTGGAGAGAGGAGGTCGATGAGGAAGGGGAGGGAGGGGGCGAAGAACGGGCCATGGGCGGGAGAGAGAGAGAGAGAGAGAAAGAGAGAGGGTGTGGGAAGGCGAGAAGCGAGCCGGAGGAGAGAGACAGAGAGAGAGCGAGGCGATAGGGGTTGAGAGAGGGAAACAGAGAGGAGTATGTGACGCTCGGAATTCTGGTGGGAGCGCGAACCGGGGTGGGGGAGAGGACGAGTGGCGCGAAGAGAGAGGGGTGTAAAGAGGGGTTTGAACGAAGGGACAGAGCCATAAGAGGGTTGATGGTGGCCCGGGTTGGCCTCAGTAGCACAGTCGCGCGCCAAACTCTCGAAGGAAAGCACGTACTCGGTTCAACGCGCTTCCGCACCTTCCTTCCAACTACATCTCTTCTTTTTTTCTTCTCTCCCCCCGTTCCCTCTTCTCGCTCTCGCCACCCACGCTCTCTCGCTCTCCCTCTCGACCTTCCGCTCAACCGCTATCCCGCGATACGTACCCGCGATCCCCGTCTTATCTTTTTTCACCGCTTTTTTTTCTCTTTCTTCTTTCTTCGCCTTCAATCCACGCGCGTTTCATTACATTCGTACAGCCTGTGACTGCCGATAAACCGATCGGACCGATCGACCAATTCTTTATCGCCGTTCGAAACGAGCGTTCGACGCTGGAACAACGACGAACACGAATATCAGGTAATCAAGATCATCTTTTTTTCTTCCGTTGTCAGAAAAGCAAGTTGGCACAGTTTTAAATCTTAAGCGGGTAACGTTGCTCGTTAACGTCGCCGGATTTACGAAAATTCCACGATTGAATTGAATCGAAACGCGGTGGTGGTTTTCATCTCTACCGGTTTTAACGGTGGTGACGAATGGTCGTGTCGGTGCCGTTTCAATTACGTCGGAAAACAGAAGTTAACGCCTCGTTTATAAATAAACGGGAGCCTCGGGAGCACACCGGCGCGTCTACCCGCTAGTAAAGCAAAGCCTCGTCGTCGCTCGTTGAAATCGAACGTTTATCTCTCCGCGAACGAAACCCCATTCTCTCTATATAATCGAATAACAATTTGTATCCCGTTGAACGTTGCGATCCGCCCGATTGAAACACGTCTCTTTTATTGGCCCATAAACCGTATTTCTTTCGCGTGACCGTTTATCGATATCGATAACAGAGTCGCGAAATTTCGAATCGGATTCCCCCTCGTATCGATCCTTGATAACGTTATCAACTATTTCGCGTGAAATAGTTTCGGGGAATTGAGATCAAGCTTCAACGGGGCTTCGATATTATTCGCCCCGACTTTGCGAAATTTTAATTTCTAACGTACTTTTCCATGGAAACGCGGAAAATTTTCTCCTTTCGATCGTACACCGGCTAAAAATACACTGTTAAAATAGTTGACATTGGTCAATCCGATCGAACACTCGCTTCGTTTCCGTTCGACCGCCTTTGTTAATCGTTTAATCCACCATCGTCGGATTTAGTATCCGTCCGAGCGACCCTCTTCCAGTCTAAAAAAAAAAAGGAAACAAAAGGGAGAGGGGGGAAAGAGAAAAAAAGAAAAAAAAGAAAACGGATGGAAAGCAAACGGGGGAGGAGGGGGAGGAAAAAAAAAAAGGAGCGACGGGAGGATACAACGTTGAACGTACAACGTTGCGATCATAAAATTATCCGATAGACCAGGGTCGGTCCGACGATGCGCGGTGGTTAAGCAGCGAATAATTATTGCGTTCCACACGGGACAGCGCGTAATAAACGTTATCAAGTTCACCGCTTTCAACCTCGTACCACCGTGCAACACACCGTTCCCACTTCTGTCGTCGCGTGTTTGACTATCGCCGAGGGAACGAACGATCTCTTCCAGGATAAACAATAATCGCGATCCATCTGTCCCTGGATACACCTGGTTACTCATGCGACACTCTCGTCGTACGCATCGAAATCGGACCAGAGAGCAGAGAAATTGCAAAGTATATCGTTTGGACGCGTGTCTGCCGCGTGAATGCCGTCCAACTTCGTCGCGTAAATAATTATATCGCATCGCGGTGTATCGGTCCGCGACGCCGGAAGCACGGAGAGAGCGCGCGCCGCCAACCACCGTCGTTCAACAATTTCATCGACGCGTGTACGCGCGGAGTACGTGGTGCGCTCGCGAGCGTATCCCTGTTTTCCGGGAATTAATTACTTCGCAAAATGCTCGTGGCCCAAATGGAATATAGTTTATCGTACACCCTATCCTACCTATCGCGTTCAAAGAGCGCGATGATCGCTCCTCCAACGACCCGTCCAAGGGTGTTAACGGGTCCCCCCTAACGGGATTAAATGCCAATTAGGCTCTTAGCACCGCGAGATTGCGTGGCGTGCCCAACTTTTAATTCGATGAGCATCAACGATCGGGACCGGACCAGACGGACGGACGGAGAGAGAGAGAGAGAGAGAGAGGATACGCGATAATCGAACGAATCGAGCCCTCGTAACGAGTTACGATACGAGTTACACACATACACGCACAGTTTTTCCGTTAAATCCGTTTTTCGATTCGCGTATGATCGATTACCGCGAGGAATTTCGCGTCGCGTGGAAAACAGAACAGAACAGGAGGGGCAAATTTCCTCTATCCCCCTTTTTTATCCGTTCGAGGGAGGAACGGAGAGGGTCGAATGATGGCACGGTAGTCGAGCGAAATCCCGTTTGTCGCGCGCAAGCCGAGAACCGGCGTGACGCAATTCTGCAAGACGAAAGGGGATGTACGTTGCAGGGGGAGGGGATCGAATCTGTGCGGTAATGGAAATAGAATTTAAACTGGGAATCCCCCTCCCTCCTCCCTCCCTCCTCGCTTATCGCGGGGCGGAAATAAATAAGGACGCGATTTCGAGCGGATCTCGAGCGGGTTGAACCGGTTACGGTAATAGTTGGGCCGCGGGAAGGGAAGGAAGCG